TTAATTATTGACGCGTCTATAAATAATCGTTTTCATGGCTCGCTATAAAGATGCCTCTTAACGGTACACAAATTATGAAGACGCGCCAGCCCACACAATTAGTATCGCATGGACACATCTCGACATTTGGCTGAATATAATTTTACTTTCTAAGTACAATTTGTGACAATAATAAACTCCGCGCACTTACACAAATGTCGGCTTTAACCCCGTATAGATTAGGTGGCAATTGGCTTTTAATATCTGCGAGATCACAATCAAACGCTCTAATAATTAGTAAAGCAACGTTCTCGGCCGCTTGGCTGGGTAGATAATTTCCGCCGCGCGTCCAAACGCATATCATTTGTCATTCGGTCGCGCGAACTCCCGCTCACAGGACGTGTCGGCTCCCTCCTAATTTATTCAAATATTATTTATTTAAGGAAAACGGGACTATTAATCACATCTCTTCAGTTTTTATTTACACAAGCGGAATGTTTGAGGGTCTTTGATCGCGGTTTGTTTGGACGTTTATTAGGATCTCCTTACGCGGCGCTTTTCATGCCCGGCTGCTGTACGGTTTTTGGTTATTTGCCCGTTCCGTGTTTGATCTTTTTGGTTAATTATATTGTGCGTGTTTGTGTTGCGGGTTTTCCGCCATACTTATATATAACTGAACGCCGTCTACTGTGAAATCTTTACGTATGTATGTACCCTAACTTAGCAAATCTCATTTTCCATTCATTCTTTTTGTGCGTACGCATTGTTTAAATAACATAAAAATATTTCTAGTGTAAAAGAATAACTTTAGCGCATATTTATTAAGCTTATGATAATTAAGCAAAAATACATTTTACTTGACAGAATACAATATGATTTTGATGGCAATAAACCAATACCGTTAACACAGTAGTCGAGAACTATTAAAATATATAGGTAGATTATCGAGGATTATTGTTGTTGTAGCCCTTATGTATATAGTCTTTAAGGGCCATTATCCGTCGAATGGTTTCGATTCCGTTGTGATAGGAAATGATAGCGATTAGTCTGTGGCCCTCGTTTGTTCTAGCTGGTTGCGCAGGAGCAGGCGCAATGGCTGTGTCTCGGTGTGAAAGTCGTTAGTGTAAATTAGCGGTGGTTTGAGCCGTTTCAACCCTTTTAGATTGTACCAGCTGTTTAGGGCACATAATATTAAACAGATTGCACAAAAAGCGATGCCCCTTTTGATATTAGCAAAAATGATTGAAGTTGTAATAAAAGCAAGAACAATATAATTAAAACAATATTTTTCTCTTAATATATTTTAGTGTGTAGGTTAAGTGTTTACTATCGTAGCAAATAGGTAACTTACAAGATTGAAATACATTTGCGGCACAATTTAATCAAAAGATATTTTATCTTTTCAAATAATATGTCCTATCTAAATGACGTTGACTGAATAACAACTATTGAGAACTTTCCTATACTGAATAAATAATGAAATGATGACTTTTATTACATTTTACTCTACAGTAGTACAGTTTTAAATATGTATATTGAATAGAGTTCCGTTGGGTATTGTACCCAACATATCTTCCAACGCCACATCCTATTAATCCTACATTAAACATAGGATCAAGCCTCAGAGCACACTTAAGAAATAATACTAGTAGGTCTTGCCTTTCATGCTCTTACGTGGCATAGAATTATGAAGTGTTGAGTGGTATTCTTTATCAAAACACATAAATAAAGCTAAGGTGTCGCTTAGTCAATGTCCAATTTTGTTGCTGATAGTGACACCCAGATGGTATCACGATGACGAATAGTATTGTGATCTATCGATAGCAATTGATAAGTAGGTACAGAAGCGACTTTCTGATAATCGATCGTCATTTGTTATTTTGATTTTATTGTTTTATGATTTAGATGGTAGGTTTAGGTTAGCTAAATGTTTAGTAAAAATACATACGTCATGCAGATTCAAGACGCCATCTCATCTCCTTCGCCATCTCAGAAAATGCCTAGCATCTAAGCACAATTAAAATAAAACAAATTTTTAAGGTAAAAATTGTCTGCACATAATGATAAATTATTCCGTCCATGTTCACTGTGATTTTACTCCAAAAAGGATAAGTGTAATAACATGATAGTTGTGAGAAATGCTGTATCTACTACAGACATCATATAATAATAAAAAAAACTGGTCTGGACATTTAAAATTTTCGGTTTCCTGCGCGTAAGGGGCTCATCGATTCCTGTCTCATACCTGGACCAAATGGAATTTCCTCTAGTAAAATATTCTTAAGATTTAATAATCTAGCAGTTAAATCAAAAAGAAAAATTTTCTAGAAAAGAATACCCGCGGATAGGCAGCGGACGGGACTCGAACCCCTCCGCTATCCGAGCGGATGTACTGACCAATTAGGCTACCGGCGCGGCGGGTTTTTTCTAGTTAAGTGCTAAAAAATAAAAAATATAAGTAGCAGTTTTATGCTTAAATAACTATATCATAGAATTTAAAACTTTAAATGTCGAATTTTGGTTAATAGTCGATCCAAGTTATGATTATTGCCGTGACAAGTATTGGAAAAAAGCGGCATCGCTTCCGATCACAAAAGTTGCATTACGAATCGTTATAGTTCCTACATAGAAGCGCCTGCAAAGAATCGTCACGAAACTCAAAAAGCGCTATTTTTTTAATCTTCAGAAAGCATTTTATGGCTTCAATCATAATCACATCTCACACGAATCGTGTTTATTACAATTGCCACTTCTATCGGTTTGATTAACAAGTAGCACTCAATTAAAATAATTAGTGGGTAGTGCGAGCCAGTTGAAAAATCGCCGGGACGGTGACAATTTATCTCGGGGCAAATTGAGACGCAATCCGTGATAGAGGAGTATGTATATTTCAAAGCGTGTCTCGCTAACTGTTTTGACTGTGAAACAAATGAGTGCTGATCTTTGCGCATGAGCATTGGGAATAGAGCTGCCCGGAATAACTAACTACATGTCATAGAAAAAAACGGGAAGGATGCTTTTGTTTGTTTTTCATAAGATCAGTTGTTATGTTCTATATTGCCGGTTTATATTTATTAATTTTTATCAATCGGAATGTTTAATGATTGACAGATTAAATACCTACACGAATTGAAATATTACCGAAACATATATAAGTTTATAACAGGTAACAACCTTTTCGAAATTAAAGCTCTTTTAAAATGAAGGTATAAATCTTTTTTAATTTTCTATTCCGCTTTTTTAATCATAAAAATATATTCTGTGCTAACAATAATACAAGCTAGCCTTTTAAAATTAAATAATTACATTTTGGGCGTTTCCGCAACTCGACATTCTTATGTGTTATGTTTTGCGTGTTGGTTTGTTAATTCATTCATAAGTTGGATCAGATCAAGAGTCACACCATAATCCGTTTACGTGACTTGATAGTAATTATTTTTCTTAAATCATAGTCAGGTATAAAATATTCAAAAGCAGCTTTTTGAAAAAGAAAACTTGTAAGAAAATTGAAATCAAACCGATTCATTATGGTTTTCGAATTACAACTGTTATTTTTGATGTTCCTTCTTTAAATTTTACGAGAAAATGTCAAAATTGTTCCAATACATAGAATTAGAATAGACCCTATGACGTCATTACCAGATAATTCTTTTATTTTTATTTGGGTATGCAACGAAACAGCGGACGAAGATAATACCATAAAACTATTAGATATTAAATCGTACAGTTTTTATATCCATCCACGTTTGTAACACGGCGATGTTTATTGAATACTGCATTGTATGAGGCAAATTTACGACTAGCCCGCTTTATGATACGTGATTAAGATTTCTTGGCGTCCGCCCCGGCCCGAACTGCTGGCGGATTTTAAAATAAAAATCGGTTATAAAAAATAATCGCGCATAGGTGTCAATTTAAATAATGTCGACGCTTTCGTGAATTCTACGATGTCTATATTACTAACAGATCCTTAGTATTTTTTCTCCATATAAATAAAAATATTTTGTAACGCAAGCATAAGTTAGTAGATCTTTACATTATCCGTTTGTCAATCATAATCGTCGATTTTCGTTGGACCACCATGGCTTTTCTTATCAGCGACAGTGGCTAGTGGAGGAAGTCACATCATCAATAACCGTGCTCGCGCGCAGCCGTCATTTTTCATCCGAACGGCTCTCAAATGTGACAATCGGTCCGAAAACTACCTTCTCGAGGATTCGTCCCCGATCGGGTAACGGAACGATCTGTGCCCCCGTTTCACTATCAAGACGAGATGCCGACCGAAGAAACGATCGTCTAAATTTGGCATTAGGCAACATCCTTTGCGGTCATGGCGTGGGGGCGTGGCCTGTGCCGACTTGCGCGCCATTGGCCGCACGCCGTGGGAACCGCGGTTCCGATCTTTGAATGTAGCGCGCCGCCAAACCCTATTATTGAATCTCTATAGACACAAGAATGGCATATAAATTTCTTGGTCGTTAGCGCAACGGAATACAAATTCAAGTGCGCGGGGAACGCTCGCTATTAACATTTCGTGCAATTTTTATTGTAATTGGAACAAGTCGGTGGAATGTCGCGCGCGCGGGTCGCGAGTTACAGCGCGTCACGGTCGCGCGGCGCCCGCCGAGCAATCTAGCTAATTACAGATAAAATCTGCGCATCGGAACGCAACCCGTAATGGCAGATCCGCGGAGTGCTCTTACGTGCTCCTCGACAACCGAGCGCAAACGTGAAAAGAAAAGGATGCATCTTCCGCACTAAGACGAGAAAGTCGATGCGAAAGAACGATTCCATTTGCCCGGGTAAATTTAAAATACTGCGCACCAAACACACATTTTCCTCAGCCTTTATTTTATTCTGATTCATGTGTATATTTTTGCTAGTTCCCCTGGCGAAATTGGAAAATCAAATTCATTTATGCCCGACGCGTTTTTTATTATTATTCACTGAGCTGGCGATGTGCATTTGAAATCGAAACGATTTATTTTTAGAGGTTTTTAGAATGTCGTACTTGCCCACAGGTGTGGTTCCAGAACGCGCGAGCCAAGTGGCGACGCATGGTGACAAAGCAGGAAAACAAAATGGCGGAGAAATGCTCGCCGGACGCGTCGCTGGAGCTCGACATGTACCACGGGCCCATGGGTTCCATCCAGTCGCTGCCCCCTCACAGCCCGCCGTACTCGGTCATGGGCGGTCCGCCCAGCCCCAACTCCATGGACTGCCCATAGCCACAATTTTGCGCCCTATGAGCGCTCTGAACATTTGTGCTATTCTCGTGCGTGTCGGAAAAATGTTACGGACTTTGGTGACAGAGACTCAGTGCCGAATAATACTTTTGTGATGTAACATTGTGAACTACGGCCGCCGACTGTTTCTCAAATTATATTAATCGGTAAGATCTTATAGATGAATCTCAAAGGTTGTTAGTCCCTTGAATGTTTTACTTTGAAAGGTCAAATTAACTATATTCTGGTGTCCACGATGGATGCTGAACGTTTGGCAACATCGAAAGCTGGCTTAGAAGCAAACGTGCTAAGAAGGATATTGAAAACAAATTCAGATCAGATGTAATATAATTTTATACGACTTAATGAATATGTTAGAGTTACACCTGTATTGTATATGTTGGTTCTACGAACCGTAACTATGAAGAAAGATTTTTTAATTAATATATTATTATTTATTTATTGAACTCTAATATTTAATTAAAGGGATAAGTTTAGCTGTAAGCGCCACGTAAGGTACATGTGAAAAATTTCCATAGATTGAAATGTTAGGAATACGTTGTAGGTCATCAGGTGAAAAATGTAAAATTTGCCAGCATAAGCCTATGTAAATCAATTTTGGTTCGAAAAGAAAAAATCAGTTCTTTTTGTTTTTTTTTAATTAATTAAACTTTTAAGTAGTTTTAAGTATTACCTAAGTATAGTATAAATCCGGCTAAGTATACACGCTATTAGTTCCTCTCGTATAGATATAAAGTACATTTACTAAGTGATTTGCGGTAAATTCTAATGGGTTAACTGAAGAGTACATAATCACAGCATAATTTAATATAGGGACACGAACAATACTCTACAATATAAAATAAATAGTTAGGCATCACTATTTAAAAAACGAAGATTTAAGGTGATTAATTATAACATGGCATTAAGATTCTAGGGACTCATTCCGATAGTCCATAACCGTCCTTCCAGGTTATTTCAGGACCTTTTATATTTCACAAGTTTTTTTCGGCGACTATACTGGTTTCATTGCAACGCAAGTAAATGATTTTAAAATTGTAAATAAAAAAACTGTTCGTTTTGAAATTATCTGAAAGTTCGTTTGTGAATTATATAATTAGTTCCCTGGTTCAATAATAGGTAGCAATAATAATGATCATTTGTTTCAAATACACACACATGCTATAAGACATCGTCCTAGAAAAAAGAAACTACATTGTCGAGCTACAACGATGAAAGCTCCAGCGAGTCACAGAGTACATTTGAACATTTCACAATGTTGAAAACGAATAAGCGCCTTCCTTCGAACAGTTTTGCAAGTCAAAAGACAGATGTTGATTAATTCGAACACTAACGGTAATTTTAGAGTTTAAAATATAAGCAATATTGCTTGTACAAGTTCAAAAACTTGAACCATAAAATTATACTATATTATATTATATTATATGAATTATTAATTCATTAATTAAATACTTTTCTTGTGTAGGATCAAATATTATGCGACGTATAATTTTACAAACAAACAATAAACCATAACTGGTTTATTGTTTGTTTTTAAACTTTAAAATTAGATTTATGAAACAAATATAAAGGTTCTCATTTGTCTACGTCTCCAGCTGTATGATTTATATGTAATAGCATCATTATCCTTAGCCTTTTTTGTATATTTAACTTATTCTATGTATTACTGAAATTTATTTTTTCTAAGCACTAAATAATTCTGTCAAGCGTGTGTGAAATTGAATTTTAATTGATTAATGATGAAAAAAAGCGACACAATTTACTGATCGCTGTTTTGTAGAAATTTCAATGAAATATTGTAATTATTGTATTTTGCCTATACGCTTTCTCTTAGGACGATGCCATGAAATAGTAACAAGCAGTTAGTACACCTGAATTAAAAGTTACTAAGTAACTTCTCCCAGGCAATTAACACACAATTATGTCTAAAAATTATAACAAATTGTTAATAAAAATATTCCAATTTATAAAATATTTCGTTTCATTTTCACTCGGTTCCTTATAATGATATTTTTTTTAATTTTGTTTCATGATTGGCATTATAAACATTCCAAAACATAGGTATCCATGTTTCGTAATAGTTTGAAAGTTCGGAAAAGTAAGTTTATGCTTAGAGTAGACCCCTATAACACATGTCGTAACATCTGTCTCTAGAAAACAGGACCTACATAGTATAAATGGTATACATATATGTCACGCGTTTCTAGAGAATGCAATATGGCTGACATTTCGTTTTTGCTATAATATTTTTTATACATAAACTCGTTCATTAATTGAACTTAATTGAAATGGCTGAAGTTGGTAGTTGAGGAAAAATACTTAGATTATCATTTTATTTTCAATAAAGGTACCTGCACACGATTCGTTATTTTACGATTTTGAATATCGTTGAATTAAGTGTCTTAATTGGAGCTTAAAGTTCACACCTAATATAATATATAATAATAGTATCTGACTAGAACTCTCTCTAGAGGTCTCGAAGTTTGGTTCGTTTGCCTTTTTTTCTAAGGTTGGGAAAATGCATGATTAATAATCCTGCCTCTGGAAGATGACGACGGGCTTATATGAGATTCCTTCCCTGAATAGGTATATGCATGAATATATTTTCCTTATACGAACAGTATATCCACCATACTAATAATTCTATAAGACAAAGTCCCTTGTCACAACCGACCGTCTAAAGTTCCCGATGATCACAAAAATTATTGAACAGATTCGATTTTCATGATTTTTTCACCATCAGTTAGAAATATTAACTCAAAAGTTTATGTAAATACCTATAATACAAGCGTGATAATAAATAAATAATCACACTAATATTATAAACTCGAAAGTTTGTAAGTGTGTATGTTTGTTACTTCTTCACGTCTAAACGGTTGGAGCGATTTTATTAAAATTTGGTATGGAGGTATCTGACATCCTGGATTAACACATAGGCTACGTTTTACTGCGGGAAAATATCCCTAATAAACCGCGGGTAACACCGCGGGGCACAGCTAGTTACTACATAAAGGTAAAGGTTAAGTATTCTCCGCAACTATAAAACTTATCACATCAATATTTACTACGTCCAATAGTCGATAAAATTATGTTCGTGCTTCTATTTTACGGACAATGTTTCGAATCGAGTGAGAGGCCTTCGAAAAAGCGCTCGTCCGTATTATGTGTATTAGGGGGTTTTACATATTGTACCCCTGCAGAGATGCATAGTAAGTAAGCGAAATGGTACCACACTTTAAACGAACGCTAAGACCCACTTGCACCAAGGTTAAACAGGGCGGCCGCTGAACTGCTTTATTTCAAAATTTACGAGACCGCCGTTTATTGCGGTCCCGCAGCCGCCGGTATGAAAGTAAGAAAGAAATGTTTCGATTTTATTTTTAATATTTCCTAAATAGTCCATATTTCCTAGTAGATTTCCTCACCACCTGTGAGGTAGTGATTCTATTCTGACGCGTTCTTCTTAATTTGGTTTTCTCAGTAGGTCTACTGCACGAACTGTTGTACCGGAATTTTGACGGACAATACTCTAATATTTAACTGCACGTTAAGCGTTTTACCCATGGCGGCAACTGTGGTTCTCTACTGATGATCCTTCGTGCTCTGTTGACACGATTGCAGATGTCAGCCGACAGGGAATGGAATATTTTATTTCATTCTCCAATGTCCCGCTCGGTCAAATGATTGTCTGTCCTTGGTATAATGCGGACTGTGCTCGTCACAGTACGAGGCTTAAACACACACACACTGGTAGAAGCTCGTGATCGAGAAATTAGAGCGCGAAGGGTTCTAGTGAAGAAGAAAGCTTATGATTCTGCCGCGAAGGCTTGCAAAGAGCTAGATTCGACCACATTAGCCATATAAGAATGAAACTTGCATTCTATCCACCGGGTAGAAAGTAGTTCTGGTCCCTTTCAAAATCAGTCGAATCTAACTCCTGCCGCCCCACATTGCGTCCCTTGCAGAAGTCTGATACAGTGGCACAGAATCCTTTGTATGGGTATCCATCCCGTACCTTCTGCTTCTGGTTTCACTATTTTCTCTATGATTCCTCTTTACTTCTTTTGTGAAGATTTTCGCACATCGATTTTCACAACGTATTCTGTTTCCCCAAGACAATCTCCGGTTGGGTCAAATGCAGTAATACATTAATTTTGGATTTTTGTCTCTAATTTTATTGTTTGTCGTTCATTCTTTGATCATAATTTCCCTTTCTCAGGTAGGAGAAAGTGAAATTACCCATTACCCTTTTTAGGGTACCGTACCTCAAAAGTACAAAAAATAGAATCCGAAATTAATAACTGTAAATAATTAAAAAATGAGAAAAAAATAATTTTGGCCTGCAATCAAATGATACGCCAGTTTAGTTTCATTTTATGCCGCATTTTTGACGCTTACGATATTGGCGTTGATTCATGAAATTAGGCAGGAAGCAATACCATGTGGTTGTTGTCACACCAATATCTGCTATGTGCTAAAAATAAAAGTTTAACATAGCAGTTCATATTCTGGCCGATGCACATAGCATACTTTTTAAGCATCCTCTGACTGCTATGCGTATTTTAATCATTATAATAGTAAACGTTATAATGTTTAAGATTCGCATAGCAGTCGTTTGTATATTCAAAAATCGGTTAGTATACTAGTAGAGTATACTAGTCATAATTATAGAATTGACGAAATTTCCAAAAAGTGCACATTGCAGATATTGGTTAGACAAGTTATATACAACTTCATGGGTACCACATTGTACAGAGCTCGCAGTGCGTGCACTTGGCCGAGTTTTACTGTTACCTCTCGTTGGTTGGTAGGTAGGTTAATGCGCTCACATTTTCGGCAGTGTCACACGATCGCGTTTGCCCTTCCGAAGAGTTATGTTGTTTTAATTAAAACTATACGTACGGCCGGGCCAGCTGCTCGCGCCTCCATTGGGTGGTCGGGCGAAGGCAGTCCTAAAATTCCTGCCTTTATCAGTACTTCGAACATCTCTGACGCATTTTTGTGCGGATAGGCGTTGTACCATTATTATTGCCTACCAACCGATCTTTTTAGTTTTTATTTTAATGAATTTCACAGTACGGTGTTTAGGTATGGCCGCGCTCGTTTACCGGTGCTTGAATATATCACGTCTCCGATGATAAATGTGCAGCGTCAATTTTAATTAATTAAATTAGGTGGGTAATTGTAATTTTATAAAGGACAAATATAATGTTTGTAATTTGTCAAATGAAACAGACAAAAAGTATAGGTACATACTTACAACTGTGCTTACATATCGTTCACAAAGGAGTTATAGATGTTAAAGATTGTATGTTTGTTAATCACTCGCGTTA